AGGAGGATAAATAAGAAGTCTAGAGAAGGGGAGAGAAAAGCAGAGGAAGGGAGGAGGATAGAGCTCCCACGGCCCTCTGGAAGGTCGGTCACTGTGGGGAGGGTGGACGCCAGGCCTGGGACTCCCCAGAGAACACAGGCCCATGGAAACGGGCAGCTTCCCTCTCTAGTCACACAAAAGAATCATCTGGGGAGCTCTAAAAAATCATGAGGCCTGCCTCTATATTCAGATGTTCTGATTAAATGGATCTGGAGTCTGGTCTGGGCATCTAGACTTACAAGAGCTCCCAGGTGGTTCTAAAGTGCCTGGGGCGGCCATCTGCGTCTCTAGAGGGAGAATGGTCTCAAAGGACCCCAGAGAAGCCTGGTGAGTGTGTACAGGTAGTTCAAAGCCAACTGGCAGGAGTCAAGTACAGTTGTTTTGTGTGGATCCTCAGGAGACCTGCACACAACAGGGACCAGAAAGAGCACAGGATTCATGTGCATACTCAGCCCTGTGACTGCATTTCTGAGGAGTGTGGTTTGCAGGGGTCCCTGCCTGTCCCTTAGAGAGGACAGAGTGGTATAGCAGGGTCTTTGCCCAGGACATTAGAGTCAGCCCAGACAAGTGACAGGGTGCTACTCTGGGATCCTGAAAGTTACAGGTTAAAATAATTCTTCTGGGCCTCACACCCTGGCCAGATTCTGGTTTAACAGATCTGAGCGGGGAGATTCAGGAACCAGCACTTTTTAAAAATTATTTTTTGTGGAGATGGAGTCTGGCTACCCAGGCTGGTCTCAAACTCCTAACCTCAAGGGGTCCTCCTGCCTTGGTCTCCCAAAGCACTAGGATCAAGCATTTTAGGAATGCTCCCCAGGTAATGCCAGCATGAAGTCTGAGCCCAGGTAGGCCCCTCATGCTCTGAAGTACGAGGGTGGGTGCTGTGATTCACCTCTGCTGGGCCCTGTGCCAGCTGCGTCCTGTGCCCCAGCCCCTCTGCTCTCTCTTTTGCTGCAGTCTCAGCTACAGAACGACCTCATTGCCAGCTGTATTCGCTTCCTACTGCCACTGTAACACATGGCGAGACACGTGCGGACTGTGTTCCCTTCTGAAGCCTCTAGGGAGAGTCTGGTTCCGTCCCTTTTCCAACTTCTGGAGGATGCCTACGTTGTTCACTCATGGCCTTCTCCCTCCATCCTCAAAGCAGCAATGTCTCCTCTCTATATATTTCCATAGTCACACCTCCTTTTGTTTGACAATAACTAGAAAAGGGTCTCTACTTTTCAAATAAATATTTTTAAGAGATGGGGTCTTACTATATTTCCCAGGTTGCCCTCGAAATCTTAGCCTCAAGCTCTCTTCCTACCTAGGCCTCTCCAAGTGCTGGGGTTACAGGTGTGAGCTGTCACACCTGGCCTCAGGTTTGCCACATTGTTTTAAATTTCATTTTTTTATTTTTTTAGAGAAGGGGCCTGGGGAGCTGTGTGTACCAGCAGTTGTGGTGATGAAGAGTAGAAGCCTGGGAGGAGGAGAAATCCTGAATTACTGAGCCCTCTTCCCCTAGCCAGGTCCTTCTCAACCTGAGCCTCCCCTTCGATTGAGTGTTCCATCTCCATGGGTTTGTCATTTCTTTATAGGGCCTCATGTCCTCAGGACAACAAAAAGAGGTAGAACCAGGTGCTCTCCAAGGCCTCAAGGATCTGTAACCAGAGATTATTTTAACTGGGAGCAAAACAGTCATTCAAATATGGTGAGACCCCAAATTGCCACAATGTCCCTCTCCCTTCCTCTGTGTGCACTAATACCACTTGGTAAAAAAAAGATCAAGGAAGGTCAGGTGCAGTGGTTTGTACTTGTAATCCCAGCACATTGGGAGGATCACTTGAGCCCAGAAGTTTGAGACCAGCCTAGGCAACATAGTGAGACCTTAAAAAATTAGCCAGACATGGTGGTGTGCAACTGTAGTCCCAACTACTTGGGAGGCTGAGGCGAAAGGATTTCCTTAGCCCAGGAGGTCAAGACTGCAGTGAACCACGGTCACGCCACTATACCCCCGTCTGGGCGACAGAGTCAGACCCTGACTCAAAAAAAACCACAAAAGATTGACAAGCTACCCAAGTGAGGGTCCCAGGCACACCGAAGTCAAAGCCATTTCTGTTAGGTAGAAGCCTCTTTCCTTCAGCCCCTGCTCACCCTCTTGGGCTCCCTAAAATTAATTTTGCTTCCTGAATTGCACAGATGGAAGTATCACCTTGGTGCAACCCATCCATCCATCACTGATTGTCCAGCCTACTCAAGGCCTGAGGCTGGGAGCGAGGGAAAGGCAGCTCATCTCCTCTGTCATCCCACACTCATTTATGGGATGTCTTTGGAATACAGAGCCAGTCCCTGAATTACAGCATGCCGGGGCCGGCAGAGCCCTCATAAATCATCTGGCCTGACCCCCGAGCTCCACGAATGCCAGCTCTCACATGGAGAGGTTAAGTGACTTGCATAAGGTCACACCACAGAGCTGAGGGCGGAATCCAGACAGCTGTCAGCAGTTCACCACACTGTCCACCCACCTGCCGGGGGAAGGTGGGGACAATGGATCAGTTTATGTGAGCATCAAACAGAGAGGAAACACACATTTCCATCAAGGGCTCCAGATTAGTAAGGACCCTGGGACCAAAGGCAGACAGCAAGGGACATTTTAGAAAGTAAAGCAGACAAGCACGGGGGTCAGTTCTTTCCTGTGAATGGCGATCACATTAGGAAAATGCAGGACAAAATATCAGGGAGAGGTGCCATCCTTGTTTTTATTCTGTAATCTGCATCCTCATTGGCAACACTCTGGCCATTTTTCTTTTCCTTGACACGTTTATCACCTTATTTTCATATTATACTATAAACCCTGGAATACACAGGCTCCTACAGCAGCTATTTTTTATGCAAGATAACACACCAAGCTTTGAGCCTTCCAATAAAATGAACCAAGGACATCTGGCATCGAAGTACTCACATTCCCCCCCTCCACACATCGCCCCCCACTCCTCCGAAAGGAGTCTGTCTGCTCTCTGTCTGTAAAAAAAGGAACAGGGCAATGAAAAAGGGCTGACATTTCAAAAACAAGAAAACAATCACCAAAACCAAAACCAAAAAAAAACACACACAAAAAAACTTTTCTTATTTCAAATCAAAAGCACCAAGATAGGTCATTTGACACTGAACGGCGGCATTTATAGCAATTGGTTATTTTCGTATCATCGGCTCTGACTACAAGGTCCGACAATTAAGCTCGAGAACCATTCTAGATAAAGTGCTACATACCCCATTGCTGAATATCATCCCAGTCACCTTTGAAGTACTCCCCTTGGGAAGCTATGCACCGATGCCAGCACCTGGTCCACCCATCAAAGTAATTTTGGAACTCTTTTTCAGGAATGGCTGCCAGAGTTATCCTTGTTACTTGTTGAGGTCTGACAGTTAAGTTCTCGAACTTGCCACCGTGCGCTTATGTGGGCAGGACTCTACAAATAACTGTATTGGAACACACTCCTTACTCACCTGGTCTGGCCCCCAGTAGCTTTTTTATTTACCTGAATATAAAGGAAATATTGAAAGAAAGACATTTGATGACATTCAGGACACCAAGGGTAATACGATGACGGCTCTGACGGCCATTCCAGAAAACGAGTTCCAAAGTAGCCCTGACGGGTGGACTAGGTGCTGGTATGGATGCATAGCTTCCCAAAGAGAGTACCTCAAAGGTGACCATAGTGATATTCAGCAATGAGGCATGGAGCACCTTTTCTAGGATGAGTTTGCAAACTTAATTGTTGGACCTTGTATATTCAAGTGCCAGGTGACTAACCTACTCATTTATTCTCACAGAAATAGATGATAACGCTAAATGTGTTATTGGGATCTAATTCTAAAACTACAGATGTTATAGCCTCTTATGAAAATCAGGCATTGTGCTTACTTCTTCTGACAACTCAGAGATAAGTATTCTAGGGTCTTTGATAGAACAACCTATGTTTACAGGACGCTCTAGGAGGGGATCTCAGGACACTTCTGAAGGGGCTGGAGAGCCCCTGGCACGGGTGCTTTTACTTTCCAGGAGAGTGAATAAGCTGTGACAGCAGCTTCTGAGTGACTGGAACCAAGACCTATGTTAGCGTCCACTTCCAGGGGTACCCAAGGGTCCTTCGTGGAAGGTGTGGTCATTATCCTGCCCTCAGTGGTTCCTGATCAAAAGACCACCTATTGGAGATGTATGCATACAATCTGAGATGTATACATGCTTGCTCTTTGCATTGTGTATTACCTGTCAATATCTGTGTCTCTGTTCTAGGGAGAGACCTATTCACATCTGAAGAAAGAGTGATTTATTACCCCGTCTAAGTGAGAAGAAGGTTGAGATTGGATGTCAACTTGAGCCCTCAGTTTCTACCCTGAGTAAAATAATAACACGGGTTGGGGACAGTCACCTAGATGCTCAGCTAACTGATAGGGGCCATCTCTCTCCCCATCCTTTCTTTCCCAATTCCTGGCAAGTTTCTCCCAATGCAGAGGCCTAAAATTCTTTAAAGAAAAGAAGCCACAACCAAACACACCGTGTGTTCTAGGCATCTTATGTAAAAGTGGATAGGTTGTAGCACAGGGGTGCTCTCTTAAACAAATGCTCTAACAATCAGGTTTGATCTACAGCGGAGGACATTGATGATTAGAGAGGTGAAGGCCGAGCCCAGGACCACACAGCTTGTTAGTGGCCAGGTGAAGACTGGCACCCAGCTCTGCTAATTCCCAGACTCATGAATATTCTCTGCCAAATGCCATTCACTCACATGTGCTTATTAACCTGTCTCTTCCTCCAGGAAGTCTCAGGCGTCACTGGATTGCTTCACTTTTTTGGCATTCACCTTCATATTAGAGAAAAGAACAAGCCTATGCTCCAGGCCACGCTGGTAATATTTGCACCATGGAACTGAAGCCACGGTGTCTCCGGGTGTGGGGTTCAAAGCAGCAGCCACACTCACCCATACTGGACGACGCCCATCAGGGGGCCCTCAGGGCCGATGTCCAGAGCCTGGGCAATGTCGGCCAGGAACTGCTTCTGGATGCGGAACCGGCGCTTGCCGAGGCCGGCGCTTCCGTCGATGACAAATGACAAGTCGACCTTGCAGTCTGAGGAGCGGAAGAAGACTGTTACTCAATAACGGCCCACTGCATTTACCCTGGCACCTCTGTGGCTTTTCCTCTACCAGGGTCCCCCTGAGATTCCCATGAGAAGAAAGTAAGACACAATTGGTAAGAGGTAGGGTGTGTTCACGCATTTACACCCCAGCTTCCCTGAGCACCAGGGTCTTAGACACACGGGTTAGCCCCCGTTTCCACAGCCATTCTAGAATTCTGTGTATCCGCCACAAAGACAGACCTCGGAAGCAGCGGCGTCCCGGGCAAGCTTGGGAAGGGTCTCAGAAGGGTTTCTCAGGCTCAGACCAAATAAGTGCAGACCCCAGATGTGGGACTCGCCAGGACCAAGTCCTAAAGGCTTGTGGTCTTTTATTCTCATCCTAACTTTTGAGAAATAAGCGCTGGATTTCTACAAAGGTATGAAAGAACCTTCAAGGCCAGTACTAAAGAAAGGGCAGGAATTGCAGAATGAGAAGTTGATATCAGTCTTCTTCACTTCCCTGGGGGCAGCAAAGAAAATATCTACATAAATCTGCAGGATGTCGGCACCTGTTTGTACCTGTCTTAGGCTTTTCTCTTTCTTTTTTCTTTTCTGTTTCATTCTTCCTTCCCTTCCTTCCTCCCCTCCCTCTCTCCCTTCCTTTCATTCTAAGATGTGGGGTACAATTCAGGATCAGACAAAGAAAATATCCACATACATCTGCAGGATGTCGGCTCCTGTCTTAGTCTTTCCTTCCTTCCTTCCTTCCTTCCTTCCTTCCTTCCTTCCTTCCTTCCTTCCTTCCAGATGTGGGGTAAAATTCAGGATTAGGGATACAAGTAAGTGATCATTGTCCAGGTAAAATTTGGGCCTCCCTTTGGTCCCCACTTTGCCTTCCTTTATTTCTTTTACTTGTGGTATAAATGAGGATAGCTGTTCTGGCTTAGAACCTCTGGATCTCTGTGAGGAGATGAAAAGCTATAGTAGAGATGGGGGTGAGGTGGGGTTGTAAGCTTTTTTTTTTCTTCTTCTTCTTAGAGACAGAGCCTTGCTTTATTGCCCAGGCTAGAGTGCAGAGTTTCAGAAGGCCACAGAAACAGAGTTTCAGAAGGCCACTGAAGCCCAGGATCAGGCAGCACACTGCTGTACAGTTGGTCATGTTGTTCCCTCAGCCTCCTGAATAGCGGGGACTAGAGGTACACGCCACCATGCCTGGCTAATTTTCAAATTTTTTATAGAGATGGAGTCTTGCTATGTTGTTCAGGCTGGTCTTGAACTCCAGGGCTCAAGCAATCCTCCCAAAGTGCTGGGATTACAGGCATGAGTCACCACACCCGGCATGCAAGCTCTTTTCAATCTTTCAAACACGTATAGGAATTAGTGAATAGCCCCACAGGCTAATAGAAATTAGTGTTTCCTTTGCTCTTGACTGAGATGATATCATCTCAGTATGATAAAACTGATTATTCAAGGCTGATGAGAGGCTCTTATTGGCAGTCACATAGCCCTTTGATTAATAACAAGAGAAAAATGAATTATTTAACAGCTGCAATTCGGGAGATGAGAATGTTTCAAAACAGAGTTCCACAGAGAAAAGTTAGGAATTTCTGGGCTGGTGAATCCAAGAGAAGGGGGAGGGGGGCTGAGGGAGTGGGGGTGGAGAGCCAGTACCCCCTTTTGTGGGTGGGGGAGCTGTGGCCAGGAACCTGTCTCTCCAGAACACCCTATTCCCAGTGGCCCATTGCTACCACGAGGTTGGAGTCTTCCAGCCTCCAGGAGGAGGAGATTTGTGGATGAAGAGGGTTGTTGTTGGTTTTTTAAAAAATGAAAGCAATGTATGGACATGAGTCAACAAAGTCTTAAGCAGGAGAATGGATGACAAATATGTCTCGATGACAACTATGGTGGAACTGTCAGATTAAGGAGAAAAGTGATGTCTGGGTTTTATTTTCTTGCACAACAGTCAAAGCCAGAGGAAGAGTCGGAGGTGACAGAGCCCCATCTAGGTCTGGTGGATTCTGCACTGGGGGAATTAGGGCCCTGGTGCCTGGGATCACCAAAGCTTTGGCCTCCTGTCTGGCTGGGCGCTCAGTGCCTCCCACTTCTTCCTGTTCACCCGGCCTCCCTTGTCCTTTGCTGCCCACAAACATGACCCTTGAGATGTAGAATGAAACAGGCAAATGAGACCCCAAAGCGGAGTTTCAGAAGGCCGTTGAAGCCTGGGATCAGGCAGCACACTGCTGTACAGTCAGTCGGTCATGTTGTTCCCCCAGCAAGGCCAACTCGCTTTTTTCCAGGCCTGGGCTCGCGATGCAAATTGTTGCCAGCAGGTGGCAGTGGTGTTCTTCAGGGCTGGCCACCCACCCGCACCCACGGTTTACTGGACTCTCAGGCTTGGTCTCCACCTACCGGATCAGGTCTGCAGTTAGCAACCCCCCCAGGTGATTCGTGTGCGCAGCAAAATTTGAGAAGGACTCGTGAGGAGGGGGTTTCCTTCCAGATGTCAGCAGATTCGTTCAATATGCCTCAACTGCGCTCAAACCTTTTTTATTTTTTTGAACCACTGTTAATTAGAGTAAGGGCCAAAGGGATTTTCTTTGTAAGTGAATCAAGTACATGGATTTTGTTGCATCTCTTTGTTTCCTCATGGATGGTTTTCCCCTCGTGGCCCACATCTTGAACTGAGTTCCAGATTGACACGTTCATCTCACAGCAAGGTCTTAAGAAGGTGAGGCGTGTCTCTATTGGCTGAATTCTTGCACCAGTCTGATGGCTGCTTTCGGAGTTACCTTGTCCCCCTCTCTCAGAAAGTCTTACATGACAATGGCCCCTTTGAGTCATTGAGCTCAGGGCACCTGCTGTCTGAGACCTGTGACTTTCTCACACCGAGGTGAAAACATGCTGATTTGGTGATGACGCCCTCAATTCTCATGGGCAGAACGGGGCAGTTTACCATGGTCACAGAAGAGGCCAGGCTGGAGGGCGAGGAAGGAGAGGTGAGACATTGTGTCTATGGGAATCGATCTTCCAATTTGTTGAATTCCTCTGGTTTTCTCCAACACGGGACTGTATGACAGATTAACCCTGGATGCATGTAGGAGTCATGCACATATCCCAGTTGCTTTGCAGCTTCAACAAATGGACCCCCGGGAATCACTCTGGACTGTGGTTCTTCAGAGTTAACGTGCAAAGGAATCACTTGGACACATGGTCTATGGAATCTGCATTCCTAACAAGCTCCCATGGGATGCATATGCTGCTGGTCCCCAAACCACACTGTATTGTTGTTGCTGTTGTTATTATTATTATTTAGTGATGGGGTCTCGCTCTGTCGCTCAGGCTGGAGTGCAGTGGTGCAATCATAGCTCACCACAGCCTTGAACTTCTGGCCTCAAGGGATCCTTCCACTTCAGCTTCCTGAATAGCTGGGACTACAGTCACCCAGCTAATTTTTTAAGCCTTTTTTTTTTTTTAGAGATGGGGGTCTTGCTATGTTGCACAGGCTGGTCTTGAATTCTTGGCCTTAAGTGATCCTCCCACCTCAGCCTCTCAAAGTGCTGGGATTATAGACGTGAACCATTGCAGCTGGCTCAGACCACATTTTGAGTAGCAAGATCCAGGCAGAGCCTGATACTGTAGGTGTGAGGCAGGAAAACATCTTTTTTTTTTTTTTTGAGTTGGAGTCTCACTCTGTCACCCAGACTGGAGTGCAATGGCACGCTCCTGGCCACCGCAGCCTCGACCTGCTGGGCTCCAGCGATCCTTCCACCTCAGCCTTCTGAGTAGCTGGAACCACAGGTGCACGCTACCACACCCGGTTCATTTTTGATGTAGTGCAGATACGAGGTCTCACCACGTTGCCCGGGTGGGTCTCAAACCCACAGGCTCAGGCAATTCACTCACCTTGGCCTCCCAAAGTGCTGTGATTACAGGTTGAGTCAGCGAGCCTGGCCGGCAACATCTTTAATTTAATTTAATTTTTTATTTTAATTTTTTATTCTTGTGTTGGAGTCTCATTCTGTCACCAAGACTGGAGTGCCACTGTAGCCTTGACCTGCTGGGTTCCAGCGATCCTTCCGCCTCAGCCTTCCAAGTATCTGGAACTACAGGTGTGTGCTACCACACCCAGCTAATTTTTGATTTATTGTAGAGATGAGGTCTTGCCAAGTTGCCCAGGCGGGTCTCGAACCCGCGGACTCAGGCAATCCATTCACCTCAGCCTTCCAAGGTGTGGAATTACAGGCTGAGCCACCGAGCCCGGCTACATCTTTAATTTTAAAAATATCTTCAGGCGATCCTTACCTGCAGCAGGTTTGAACCTCGCTGCCCGTTGGGGGCTGACCACTAGTGACTTCCCGGAAGAATCTGTAAATTCCTTCTTTCCATACCTTGCAGGTTTTCCTCTTCTTCCCTGGCCCCTCCTTGCTGGTATCCTCAGGTGGCCTCTCCTCTACCCAGCATGGCTCCTCTGGTTTAAGTCCTCTGTTCCTCCCGACTCTGCCCATCTCCCTGGGTCAAGTGTTCTGATTTCATAGCCTCGGTTTCAACCATAGCTCATTGTCTTCCAGTTCTAAATTCTGCCCGGGCTGCTCCTTCTTAATGCTGGGTCCCTGGGGTCGTCCCACTATCACATCCCATGTCTCACGGAAGGCCACCAACCACCTCCCTGCCCTGCCTGCTCCATCCCCAGCAATCCTCATTCACTCAGCTGCTCAGGTCATCCTTCCCTGCAGCTCCATCCTAGAGACCCTTCCTTCTCTGCATCTCTCACATTTGCCCACTTCTCTCCATTTCCACTCCAACCTCGAGCTCTGGCTAACCGTCATCACCACTGCCCCCACCAGCCCTCCATCTCCTCCTTTCTTCCATCCCCATCTCTCCATTCCATCCCATTCTTCACCCTGTTGCCATAGCGATGTTTAAAAACTCAGATCCTCTCCCCCTCATGTACATAAACAGTTTAAATCCTTCAAAAGCTTCCTTTTCTCCACAGAGCAGAGTGACAGGAGAGAGGAGATAGACAGATCCATGTAGGGGCAAGGCGGGCTTGGTTGGGGGTGAGTGGGCAGAGGGGAGAGAGGGTAGATCGGTGTCAAAGCCACCAAGGGTTTCTCGTCGTCAATTCACTTACTTGGGTCTCCCAAGGATACTGGCTCCAGAGACTGTGTGCTTAACTCTTCTTTTGGAACAGAGCCTGGAAAGAGCAGTAAAACTTTTGGTGACTTACAAGCACAAGAAGCATCTGGCCTTACCCCAGGGAGGGGGACATGATGGATATTCACACCCAGCTCAGTGACTGGCTTAAGGCTGACTGTATTCTTCTCCACCCCACACCCATCCTGAAAAAATAGGGATAAATTAATATGTACTGACAGCCTACTAACCACAGTACCCTGCTGGGTGCTCAGGGGATTGGGTATCAGAAGACTTGAGTTCTGCTCTTGTTACTTTCTTCTTTTTCTTTTTCTTTTTTTGAGTCAGGGTCTCACTCTGTCACCCAGGTTGGAGTGCAGTGGCACAATCATGGCTCACAGCAGCTTTGACTTCCTGGACTCAGACGATCCTTCCGCCTCAGCCTCCCAAGTAGCTGGGACTACAGGAGTGCACCACCACACCTGGCTAATTTTTTGATGTTTTGTAGACAAGAGGTCTTGCTATTTTCCCCAGGCTAGTCTTGAACTCCTGGGCTCAAGCAATCCTCCCACCTCGACCTCCCAAAGAGCTGGGATTACAGGCATGAGCCACAGTACCCAGCAGTTGTAATTCCAGCAGCTCTTGTTAATTTATTCTATTTAAGCCTCAGGGTTGTTTTTTGGGGTTTTTTTTTTTTTTAATCTGAGTCTTAGGGTTTTGTTTTTTGTTTTTTAAATATAAAAGCACAAGCACGTTCCCACTGTAAATTATGGCTCTAAAATTTGGCAAATCTTGAGGTCAGGGAGTGTGACTTGCTCATATAAATCTCCACCGTGCCCAGGTCATGCAGGTCTTCAGTTCACATTTGGTAATTGAGTCAATGAACGAAGATGAATCAGATACAAAGAGGACAACCTAATGAGGGTTGGGTGTGGACTGAAGGAGGAGAATTCAGATAAAAGCACGTCAAGGAAGACCAGACGTGGTGGGTACCCTATAGTACCAGGGCTTTGGAAGGCCGAGGCAGGAGTTCAAGGCTGCAGTGAGCTCTGATTGTGCCACTGCAGTCCGGCCTGGGCGACAGAATGAGACTGTGTCTCAAACGAACAAAAAACCTCAAAACCCTCAAATTAGACGATCTGGAACACCATTCCTGCCCCGGCTGTTGGAGACAAGAGGTAAAGACCACAAGGGTGTTGTGCTCTGAGAGGCCACGGTTGCGCAAGTTCAGTTTCAGCCTCGGGAAAGGGGGTGTGTACTTGCAGTCATTTACAAGGGCGCCAAGTTCATAAATATGCCATGACAGGAAATGAAGACAGCACGTGGGAATCCTTTCCAGCTTGGTAGACCAATGGACTCCCCGGGAAGTGTGCCTGCGGCACCGGAAGTGAGTCTCCCAGTCCTGGCCGCCCGGAAGTAAGTCTCCCTCCTAGGCCTCCCGGAAATGAGTCTCCCGGTCCAGGCCGCCGGAAGTCCCGGGATTCCCGGGCCTGGAGGGTGGTGCTGGGTCTTTGCTCGCTCTCGGCTGCAGTGAGCGTTCTCCGGGCCTGTTGTTTTTTCCAGTCTACAGAGCACATGATTTCACCCTCTCATGTGCTCATGTCAGCTAGCACATCCCGCTTCATCATATCACTAAAAACTCACTTTGGAGTCTTAACAGCATTTCTTGGCCAGGAGCCTCTTGGGCGACGCCCCAAGACTCCATTGGAGGGATGGGAGGAAATGCAAGTCCAAGGTCGAGCCCTGTCCTTCCCCTCCGTCTCCCCTACCAGGGTGATCGTCTCCCTGGCCAAGAGCCGTCGGTAGGTCTTTTCCGTTGGACTGTCAGACATTTAATGTGGTGAACAGCGAACACCATCCATTCATGCAAAGAAGGGGAAACAGAGGAAGCCAGAGTATGCAGCCAGACAGCGAAGGTCTAATCCCATTTTGGGGCTAGGGAACCAGCTCCCTTCTGGCTTTTGGCCTCCTTTCTCCTTTTTGTTATCCAGTGTTGTCCCTCACCCCAGGTCCCTCTGGGGAATTTCTTCAAAGGACCATGTGGTCAGAGCTGGAGACCATAGAAAGGCCGGTCTAGCTGAGTTCGGCCACTCTGCCACCAGTGGGGTCACATGACTCCCCAGTTCTGTGGTTCCATGCATCTTGATTCAGGCATGGCTGAGAGGTTGGCCTGTATAATTACCTACATCTAAAAGGACCAATCCGGGTTTCCACAAGTCTATTTCTCCCTCTCTCCCTTTTTTCCCTCCCTTCCTCCCGCCTTCCCTTTCTTTCTCTCAGGGTCTCACTCTGTCACCCAGGCCAGGGTGCAGTGGCATAATCACAGTTCACTGCAGCCTCCAACTTCTGGGCTCAAGCAATCCTTGCGCCTCAGCTTTCTGAGTAGCTGGGACTACAGGCACACACCACCATGGTCAGCTGTTTAAAAAACTTTTTTTTTTTTTTTGTAGAGACGAGGTCTCACTCCGTTGCCTAGGTTGATCTCAAAGTCTTGGGCTCAAGCGATCCATGTTGGCCTCCCAAAGTACTGGGATTACAGGTGTGAGCTACCACACCTATTCTATATTTTCAAAATTGAAAATAAACAGACTTGTTACTTAAACCAAGCCAGCTGGAGCTCCCAAGAGAATTTCCAGGAGGATATGGTTTCCCAACTGTGGCAGAAAACTCAATAAAGGAGCAGGGGACCGGAATTTCAGATGAAGCAACCTGAAATCTGTGTGATTTTTTTCCATTAAAAGCTCTTAATGTCAAAGACATAATCATCTTTGGTTTCTTTCTTTCTTTCACTATGCACAAGTATCATGGAATAACAGAACACTGGAATTCAAAAGGACCTAAAAGTTCATCCTGTTCAAAACATCCCAAACTGCTTCACAAAATTCCTGCTATGTGGGTGGCTGGCAGTCCTTGAATACCTCCAAAGACAGAGAATTCATTACATAGTCAACCAAAGTAGCGCATTCTTTTTTGGACTTCTGAGACTGAAAACATTTTCATCGTATCAGTTGAAATCTTTTGCCCTAAATATTTTCCCATCCATTCATCCTTCCATGCATCCCTCCATCCATACTTATTAAGCACTTAATATGAGCCTAATATCATTCTAGGTACATTTGTTCCTCTTGTATGTTTGAATTCTCTTCCTTGGAGTTATGCAGGGCAAATATGACCCCTTCAGTGAGCAGACGATCCTCTCACTTCCTGAGGGTCTGTTTCTCACAGTATGGTTCAATCAGGATAAAGTGGCACCTGGATTCTATATGCCTGGTGTAAGATGTTAATGCCTGGTACCACAAACTGGTGTTGATAAAGTGGAAGGGATGGTGGAGGAAAGGAGGGGGGATTCTTACCCCCAAATCCCTGATCTCTTTTGGAAATCATGACTGGGAAGGGCTCAGAGGCAGCACAATGTGTTAGGAAGCCTCAAAAGGACACAGAAATAGATAGCTGTTTTCCCTCTCTCTCCCTCTCTATCCCCCTCTCTCCTTCCTTCCCACTCTCCTCCCTGTCTTCCTCCTTCTCTCTTATAGCTTGGAAGGCTAAGAGCAAGATCAATTGTTTTTTGTGTCTTCAAATTTATCAGCTTTACTTCTGGCTGAAGTTATTCACACCCTCAAAAAAAGTGGCCTTTTCCTTGATGTGACTAAGATGTCAGGCAGTTCTGAAAAGCCATCGGTGCTCTTACACATTCTGGTTTAATAATGGGACCTGAGTTGAGTCTAGCTCAGCCATTAACTAGGTGTAAGACCTTGAGCAAGTCAAGTGCCCTCGGCGAACCTTACTTTCTTTGTAAATAACATAAGCAGATTGGGCGAGATGGTCTCCACGCTCCAAATACTTATGATTCATGTTTAAACATTCCACTTCTCAAGCCTTATCAATTTGCCGCCACCTACTGGTGAAAATATTCACTTTGCTCTTTTTTCTTTTTTTCTTTTTTTTTTGAGTTGGAGTCTCACTCCGTCGCCCAGATTGGAGTGCAGCGGCCGCTCCTGGCCACCGCAGCCTCACCTGCTGGGCTCCGGCGATCCTTCCGGCTCAGCCTTCCAAGTAGCCGGAATTATAGGCACGCGCTACCACGCCCAGCTGATTTTTTTTTTTTTTTTATTGTAGAGATGAGCTCTTGCTGCCCAGGCGGGTCTCGAACCCATGGGCTCAGGCAATCCACTCACCTCAGCCTCCCAAAGGCTCTTTTTTAAAAAAAAAAAAAAAAAAAAAAAGTCTGGTGACTTCTCTCCGTTTTTGCCCAAGGTTGCTTTTTTTTTTTTTTCCTTTTTCACAAGCACTCTTGAATGTCATGAAGATTAGAATGCTGGTGCTTTATTACTTTATCAGGAGATAAACAGTCCCCTGACATCAGGGATTTCCAGGTCTCTGACTCCTGTCCTGGAAGCCTGTCCTATTAACGCCTCTTTGATTTTGTTTGGGACAAGTTTGAACCAAATTACATTCATCCAAAAGCTGAGGGCTGAAAAATATTTGGACAGCTGAGACTTGGTGTTTTTGGACTTGGTAGGAGTGAGAAGTAAACTTGTGAGAACATTTGTGTTCTGGCGTCGCGTCAGGGAGGAACAGGGTGGCATTGAGGAAAAAAAGAAGTCAGAACCCATCCTGGGTCTACCAAAGACCAGCTGGGGGGCCAGGGGTCACCCACCTTTTCTACAGTTTTTTCTATAAAGACTCACCCTGCCTTAGCTCACAGGGAGGACACTCAAAGGAGGTGAATGTGTATAAAATCTCTCCTAAAAGGGTTATTCACTCTTTAAAAATGGAATTATTTTTATGATAGTTCTTGCTTGGTCATCTCATAGATCCAGTCCGCTCTAAGAGAAGTATTGGTTCTGAACGATTTCCGTGGTAGACTTGTAGAAACCCGTGACATTTATTGAGGGCTTGTTCTGTGTTGGGCACTGACTGAGCACTTTGGAAGTATTAAAGTCACAGTAGCCCTGGGAGTCAGGTATAACCATGAGCCCATTTTACAGGAGAGGAAACTGATTCACAGGGAATAGCCGAACAGAACTTTGAGACCAGGCAGGTAGACTTTGGAGCCTGTACTTAAGCATCATCTGTCTATCGTGTGGGAGGAAGAGTCATGGTCACTTCAGCATCTCAGGGTCCTTGGTGAGGCTGCCAAGAAGCCAGGCCTGCACAGCCTCCTGGAACTCACGCTAATGTAGCTACATCTTCAAAGGAGCCCAGGACTATCCCTGTTCCCAAGACCCCTGAGATGATCTCTGTGTTGGCTACAGCTCCTCTGTTCCCCTGCATGGGACCGTAGTGGGAAGTCACCAGCACGGGACCCTAGTGGGAGCTGTGACACATGGCTCTCAGGGTTCTCAAGTTTTATAACACAGAAGCTCAGATGCCCCCTCAACTCCCTGGTTTCTTCCCAGTGACTCCCCTGGGGTGCAGATTTGAGGAGGAAGCAGCAGTCTGAAAGGCAGCCAGCCTTTGGAGCCAGGTGCTATCCGGGCTTCCCGTCCCTGCTCCGGGTCCTCGTGTCCCAGGGCTGCACATTTCCCTGGAGAGCTTCCTCTTGCTGGACTGAGGTGGGAGTGCTCAGAAGTGGGGCACTGTGGCCATGCCCAGGGTGTTGCCATGCTGGTGGCATACCGCACAAGGAATTTCAGAGAAAACAAGGACAGTCTGGGTTCCTGGCCATGAGCCAGGCTTATAAATGGGTCCCTCTCTAAGGCTTGCTTCGGGTATCGTGTAAGACCTAGAAGCCTTTTTCTCCTGGAAACACTAACTCCATGGATGCTTATTTGATTCAAACAGAGCTTGGGACCACGAAGCCATCAGCATAGGGATGGTTCTGAGGGAGAAAAAAAGACACTAATTTTTTTCTTTCCTTCTTTCCTTCTTTCCTTCTTTCCTTCTTTCCTTCTTTCCTTCCTTCCTTCCTTCCTTCCTTCCTTCCTTCCTTCCTTCCTGACAGGGTCACCCTCTGTTGCCCATACTGGAGGGCAGTGGTGCAATTATAACTCCCTGCAGCCTCCAACCCGGGGCTCAAGCAATCTTCCTGCCTCAGCCTCCCAATTAGCTAGGACTACTGATGTGTGCCACCATGCCTGGCTAGTTTAAAAAAAAAATTTTTTTTGTAAGGATAGAGTCTCACTCAGTTGCCCAGGTTGGTCTCAAACTTCTGGCCTTAAGTGGTCTTCCCACCTCTGCTTCCCAAAGTGCTGGGATTACAAGTGAGAGCACTTGGCCAAAACTACTGTGTTTGAACTTGACTTATCAGGATCCCACCACCTATCCCTCCTTGAGAACACAGCAGGAACATCCCGCCCTGACTCCAGGGTCCCGGAGAGGAGGGGTCAGGTGGGCAGAGGCCCCAGAATGTAGGAGACAAGGGCATTACAGGTGATCCTGGAGGGAGAATGTGGGACTTGTGAAGGGAAACACTCCAGATGTAGGATTTTAGAATTTGAAGATGTCTGATTCGTCCTGTAGTTCTAACACAGAGCCCAGTGTCTGATATACAGTTTGCTCAATAAATATTTTTAAAAAGTAACAGCAGCTCCCCTGCTGGAGAGGGACATCTTAAACTGGGGGTGTGTAAAGTTATATCTGTGAGCGGAAGGCAAAGTGAGAGGGGTGGCAGGACTTGCTCAGGACTCAGAAGCCCAGTGTCCTGGGCAGGAGGGGTGAGGTGTGAAGCCCAATGTAACATTGTTAGGTCTATGTGTAGCTGCCTGTGTCTGTGAATGGGTTGATCTAAGCACAAAAGAGGTGTTTGAGGAGAGATCACAGAATTCAGTGGTCCCATGTGATATGTTTTTATCAGTGACAGAAATGAAGACAGGTGGCATGTTTACTGATTTTACAGATAACACAGATTAGAAGGACAGCTTTGCCTTAAACGACGGAGTTTAAGAGTTGGGAAGATTGCAACAGACTACACTAAGAGAGGACTTCATAGAGATGTGTGTGATATTCCAACTTGGACTTAAAATCTCAATTATGTATAGACAGGATTGGAATGACCTTCTCTTATTCACCTTTTTTTTTTTTTTTTTTTAGAGACGAGTGCAGTGGCATGACCATAGTTCACCACAGCTGTCAACTCCTGAGTTTAAGCAATCCTTCTGCCTCAGCCTTCCAAAGTGCTGGGATTACCTATGTGATCCATTGTGCCTGGCCTGGGGCGACCAGTTTCTATAGAAGGACAAGATTAAACCTCTTGCGGATTTCAGTTATCACAAGCTCAGTAGGAGATGAGTTCATGTGAGACAAGGCTTGCTCCAGTAGAAGCTGGAATGTTGTCAGGGAGGCAGAGTATTTAGGATGAGGGAGATGGCGCCCTGGAGGAAGTATCCTGGAAAAGATGAGACATAGAGGAGGGCACGAAGCCTGGCTTCCCACATCTGAAAGGCTCTCAAACTCAAGAGACGCTCAGGGTCTCTTTAAAATTATTAAAAATTATTAAAATTATTGAAGACCCCCAAAGAGCTTTTGCTTGTGTGGGTCATCGTTATTAATTTTTATCATTTAAAAATTACAATGATTCATTCTCTCATTTGAAACTGGCAATTTATCAACTCATTTAAAATGATAATAGTACTATATTGTATTTTAATATAAAGGTCTATCTTTAAAGAAAAATAATGGTTTTCTTTTTTTTATGAGATGGGGTCTTGTTCTGTTGCCTAGGCTGCAGTGCAGTGACACAAACATAGCTCACTGCAGCCTCCAATTCCTGGGCTCAAGCAATCCTTCCACCTCAGCCTCCTGACTAGCTGGGGCTACAAGCAAGTGTCACCATACCCAGCTCAAAAATAACTGTTTTTTAAGCCAAAGAGATCAGTGAGCAGAGTGGCAAATTTCTTCAAAGTCTATTATAACAGAAGCTGTCTGGAATCTGGTGTCGGCTCCTGCAGCCAATCTGCTATGCTATCTCCTTACGCAGACATGTAGTTGGAGAAAGAAGGAGCTCACAGAGTCCCTGAAAGCAGGGTACTCAGACATACTTTGAGAACTACCAGTTTAGCAAATTAGGAATGATGAACTAAAAAGTTCTAGAAAGTGGCCAGGCGTGGTGGCTCACACCTGTAATCCCAGCACTTTGGGAGGCCAAGGCGAGAGGATTGCTTGAGCTCAGGGGCTTGAGATCAGACTGGGCAACTTGGTGAGACCTCATCTCTACAATAAATCAAAAAATAAGCTGGGCACGGTAGTGCGTGCCTGTAGTTCCAGCACAAAAACTAGCTGGGCGTGGTGGTGTGCATCTGTAGTTCCAGCTACTTGGAAGGCTGAGGGAGAAGGATCGCCTGAGCCCAGCGGGTCAAGGTTGTGGTGGCCATGAGTGTGCTACTGCACTCCAGCCTGGGCAACAGAGTGAGACTCCAACTCAAAAAAAAAAAAAAGTTCTAGAAAGCATGTCTAACAGTGCCACCCACCAAATGAAGGGGCTGGGAAATTCTCTGCCACTTGAAGTTATCCAATGTAGGATAAACGCCTTTGTCTGGCACACCACAAGGGCTTCATTTTTTAGGTGAGAAATTAGACCAGATGTCCTTTACACAGTTCTTTCCAGTTCCACGATCTGATGATTTTAGAGCTGAGGAACTGGGCGACTTGCCTAACATCCGTGACTATATCTGAGATGACAGCCGGATGGGTATTACCTCAGAACCCCAAATGCTGCGTCCTGCCTTTTTCTCAGGGTATGCACGTAAGAGCCGTAATGGGATGTCCTGGCCTGTCTAGACCTCAGCACCTTCAAACTGGGCGAGTCATTTAAGGCAAGGACACTCTGAAGTCTCATGGGAGGGTCTGAGGTGCTCAGAGAAAAACGGCAGGGATGATGGGGAGGGGAGGAGCGGCAGGAATGGGTGGAATCTGAGGACAGAAAAGAAGCTGGGAAACTCCATGTGGGCCAAGGAGATAGAGCATCCTAACTGGGACACGGAAGAGAATGGAGAAGAAACAGATTCCCAGAGCTTAGGACCGGAGGATGGTGAGATGGGAAAAGAGGACATGGGCCAGATGCACTCAGCAGAATGCAGCCTTGAAGCAGACCTAGGGTGTCAGAGCAGCCTCGGAGATGCGTATCAGGCAACATCCCTCCTCGCCAGCCACTCTGCCCACGTGTGGCTAGTTCAGCATTTCTAGTATGTTCGCTTTATCCCAAAGGCCAGTTGTGGAGGGGCCGAGTGGGTGCATAGGCTGTTTAGACGGGGACCCCTTCGAGGGGACATAAATCTGGGGAGCCCTTGGGCATCTGAGTTGATATTTCCTATTGGACACACTGAGAATGGACAAATTGAAGAGACAGTTTCTCGAGGTTAAAAGAACTTAGCATGCCACCAAACTCTGGTGGCCTGGAGCTGAACAGCAGAGGCCACCAGTGGGTATGTGGGAGGCCCATGGTCTTGCAAGTGCCACAGTGTGAACTCTGGAGAGTGGATGGCTTACCCAGGCTGACGTCTGCTGTGGCGGGTCTCTGGAAGGCAGCTCCGGACAAATCCTGCCTTGGGATACCTGAGGGAATCACGCAGGGTCAGCAGATGTACACCCAATCGGCAGACAGCTTTCTTCCATTATTTTGACCCCTGGTGAAAGTCGCCCTAGTTCAGATTTTCCTTGGAAGGCAGCCAAGTGTTCAGGTTCTCTGTGGCTGGCTCTGCTTTTGAGGGTTGCAGAAGTTCTGGCCAAGGGGACAAGAAGAAAGAGTGCCCCATGGTTTGGCCTCCTGAACAGTCCTGTGGGCCTGTTGAGGCCTAGGATGGCCTGAAAGTCCTTGCCTTGACCGGTGTTCTGATTCTTAGGCCTTTTTTCCAAGCCAACAGTATGTTCATTGGCAAAGATGCCATTATGACAGGGAAGCTGTCAGCCTTGACCAGATGACCTTGTGGAGCCCTGCTCTGATCTGGTACCAAAGCAAAACAGAACCTACGGTTTTTTGTTTTTTGTTTTTTGAGTCAGAATCTCTGTTGCCTAGGAAGGAGTGCAGTGGCACACTCACGGCCACCACAGCCTCGACCTGCTGGGCTCAGGCGATCCTTCTGCCTCAGCCTTCCAAGTAGCTGGAACCAGAGGCATGTACCACCACACCTGGCTAATTTTTTTATTTATTGTAGAGACGAGGTCTTGTCAAGTTGCCCAGGCTGGTTTCAAATCCCTGGGCTCAGGCAATCCTCTCACCTTCACCTCCCAAAGTGCTGGGATTATAGGCATGAGCCACCACGCCCAGCCAGAACCTACAGTTTCTAAGAACAGGTGGAAGACAGCCGGGTATCTCCAGCAGCAGGAAGACCTGGACACCCCTCCAGCAGCAGGAAGACTTGGACACCTCTCCAGCGCAGGTCTGGACCTTCCTTCTAATGCCTCTGGCTTCAAAGAGAATGGTATACTTCCATCGTGGCACATGGACCTAGCCCTGGGTAGAGTTTGTGGACACCAGCTAACCCTGTCAGATTTTTCTTTCTTTCTTTCTTTCTTTCTTTCTTTCTTTCTTTCTTTCTTTCTTTCTTTCTTTCTTTCTTTCTTTCTTTCTTCCTTCCTTCCTTCCTTCCTTCCTTCTTTCCTTCCTTCTTTCTTTCTTCCTTTCTTCCTTCCTTTCTTTCCTTCTTTCCTTTCTTCTTTCCTTCCTTCTTTCCTTCCTTCCTTCCTTCCTTCCTTCCTTCCTTCCTTCCTTCCTTCCTTTCTCTCTC